ACCATGAAGTGCTGGTGCATGTAAATAAAGTGCTGTTGCATAGATAACATATGGATTGCACAGATTTAAATAATACAAATCTAAATTGCACAATGCTCTTATAAGGTGCTAGTGCATATTAGATAAAGTGCTGCATAACAGAAAATTGCCCAGTACTAAATGAAGATTGCACATTGCCCTACTACATATTACTAATAAATAGTACAGTTATAAATATGAAGTGCATACTGCATATTAAAGTGCTTAAGAAATTGCACGTGGCCCTGTCGTACAAGGTGAGTAAGGAGGTGATGGGGTGGTATAAAAAGCACAGCAAGCATCTTTTTACTAGTGGCATTCATTTTTTTTTAAAAAGGGCGGTGTGGTGTGCATGCACATGTTTTGCAACCTGCAAAACGCTTTCTGTGTGATCAGGGCCATAATCTCCATATTGTAGAAATCATCTTTGTTTTTCACCTTTGACAGAAAAATCCCTCCACAAATGAATGATGCTGACTGACATTTTTTTCTTAAATCTAAATGTGCACATTTGTTTTCCATGTCATTGGTCTAAAAACAAATCAGGGCTCTGCCAGGCAATATGGAAGAAGAATGGGATCGCTACCTCCTGTTTATGACCTACCTGGCAGAATCATGGGTAATTTGTTGCATTGTAAGATTTCTTATTCATTTTTATTGAATGGTAAATGGACCTGCATTTGTATAGTGCCTTTCTAGTCATCTGACCACTCAAAGCGCATTTTACACTACGAGTCACATTCACCCATTCAAACACATTCACACACTGGTGGCCGAGGCTACCATACGAGGTGCCACCTGCTACTCAGTTTTAACACACTCACACACCAATGGAACAGCCATTGGGAGCAATTTGGGGTTCAGTATCTTGCTCAAGGATACTTCGACATGCAGACTGGAAGAGCCGGGGATTTAACCGCTGATCTTTCCATTAATGGACGACCCACTCTACCTCTGAGCCACAGCCGCCCCTGAAGAGATTTCAGTATTCAAGCCATTTTTTCCACAATTATCTGTCAGTCACCCTTAATGATTTACATGAGAACCTGCCAGAGAGAAGATAGATAGATAGACGATCTGACTCTACGTAAGTCAAGCATTAACTAAAGTCATACTCCAAAGCTACATGATTTTTGTTTTATGTTTTTTTCTGTGTCCTTACCACAATGGATGAGCAGCACATCTTACTCTAAAATTGTGGGATGCCACTCAACAAATCAAGACTGATATGCTAAAAAATTGCAAAAGTGGATACCATTCAAAGTAGTCTGAGCAGCATTCAGAACTTACTAGTCACTTTGGGAGATCAAGTTCATTTGTTAGACCAGTGTGTTAGGGCTAGTGAAGCTGGAGTTTGTTGCTTGGGTTCAAAAGCTAGAGGAAAAACAACTCCTGTCTGCCTCTTGAAGTTGATGACTTGGAGAACCGAAGCCGTAGCTCTAGTGTCTGCTTTGTTGGTGTGCCAGAGCCCACTGAGGGCAATGCTATCATTGGTTTCATGTCCCAACTGATCCCACAGCTTCTGGGATGTGACAACTTCTCCACTCTGCCGATTATTGAGATTTCAGATTTCCCCCTAGGGAAATTATCTAACAGCGTTAGGCAGGCAAAAAAACACATACAGGTTAACACATGCAAACTCTTCTTCAGGCAGCAATGCTTCATTGCACAGCCCTATTTTCCCACAGTCCTATTTTCCCACAGCCCTATGTTCCCACATTTCTAAGATTTTTCTTAAAATTAGGCCCTAAGTTCCCACATTTCTACGATTTTTCTTAACAAATAGTGAAACTTTTTACTTATTTAGATTCTTTGAATGTGTACTGTTCATTAAAGAATTATAGAAAGTTAAATGTGCGCTGTGTCTAAATCGCACTAACTCATGGAGGTGAGTTTAATTTCGGTATGAGGGTTTGTCACTCCACAGCAACCCCATTTTGTAGTAATGGTGTTGAGCTTGAGAGAGTTTGGAAGTTAGCTCTCTCCTTCAAATCGCCAGCCGTGGGATTGAGTGGCGAACCCTCAACTACCAGGGGACAATTGATTTCAAAACACAGGACAAGATGTAAATATCCTTTATGTGCCAAAAACACTCACCAAGAGAGTAGCACAGTAGACTTGATGACACTGACAGGTTGACACAGGGGAGTTTTCAAATAGGCATCCTCCTTCCTTAATGTTTCCTTCATGAGCCTATGACGCCTCCAGAGGGCTGGAAAGTGACTCCAAGCATCCCAGGAGCACCCCCTCTCTATGCCAACCCGGCTTTCCCCTTTGCTTCACAGTGGCTTATTTTTTCTTCATCTTTAAATGTAAGGACACACATTCACTGGCTTTAACTTATAGTTAAAAGTATAAGCATGCCCTATCTTCTTACTGTAAGATGGTCAGCTCCTGCAATCAATAAGGATGTCTATATGTTATATTCATAAATTATGCCTACACGTGATTGTAAGTTTGTCTTGTATTTGTATTTCTATTTTTTTTTAAACTTTATTCTGTCATTCCTCTGTTTTTTTGGGATTGTGATAAATTGTGGCACATCCTCGAAAACAAGATGGCACATCTCAAGGGCTTTATCCTAATAAACAACTTTGAACACAAGTGTAATGAACAATAACAATAATAATAATAATAATACAGACATAAATACATGCATACATCTCCAACCATCCATCCATCCATTTTTATCTGCTTATCCAGGGCCAGATTGCAGGGGCAGCACACTGAGCAAAGTAGCCTACTCCAGATCCTACTCCAGCGTCTCCCCAGTGATGCTTTCCAGCTCCAGCTCTAATGGGAGGTGCACAGGAAGCATCCTGATCAGATGCCTGTACCACTGCAACTGACCCTTTCGATGCAAAAGAGTAGCAGCCCTACACTGAACTCTCTCTGGATGCCAGAGCTCCTCAACCTATCAATGCAATGCAATTCAATTTAATTCGATTCAATTCAATAAGTTTTATTGGCATGGCATTTCTTATGTGTTGCCATACCTGTGATAATGTGAGGGGAGGGTGCATATTTTCCCCAAATGGCCTACTGTATGTCAACATACTAAAAGCTATTGTGGAAAAAGTCCCCCTCCACTAGTGTCTTAATCACTGCTTCTCATTGTTGAGAGGAGTTTGCCTGGAGACAGTGCCACTGCCACTTTTTTTTTTTTAGCTTGGCGCCACCTAGCGTCAGTGATGTTGCATCGCACTGTGGCAACGACCAAATTGACCGTGAGGATCAGAGATAATCAATAATATGACTCTATTAGACTCTCTAAATTAAATAAAATGTAGGCTGTAAAGCCACCGGTATACCTCTATGTATATGTAGAATGAGAAGGAGTGTAGACACTATACTAAATAAATGAGTAAAGAGACCGAGCAACAATTATCTGATTTATCTGAAAAAAAAAAACAAATAGTAATGCAAATAATTATACCAGAATGCACAGTACCAGTACAAGCAACTCGCAGTAAATTATACCAATATGTACAGTATTAGTACAAACAACAGTGGAATTATACCAATATGCACATGTAAATAGTCCCAATTCTAGAATAAACGGTACCGTATGGAAACGATGCGGCCGACTGGAGGTCAAACTGAGTGGGAAACAAAGTCCAGTGTTGACTTAGCTGGGCGTAACTTAGCTGGGCGATGTCCGTCGATAGCTGCCTCCGTGAGAAGAGAACAGAAGGAAGGGAGGGGCGTATCACTGTCCGAGGGCTGCCGTAGAATGGCAACGAGGATGTCAGCCGACCAACACTTGCTACCCGGTCCCTGGTTGCAGCGATTTGCGATGCTGGCCAGCTAGGAATGAACTAGCAGCCAGTACAGTACAGTCCTCTCTCGTCTAGCTAACATTTAGCCGTGTTACTTACTGATCCATTAGAAAGAAAGCTAGCTGGACATCGGTTTTGAAGCCTCTTTGGTCACGGAGCTCCCTCCATCTCTTGAACGCCTGACTGAGGTTTACTCTTGTTTTCCCTCTTCTTTTATCACTCTCCTTTTTGCTCTTCTTTGCCTCCTCAGACAGAGGAGCTCGTTTTCTTTTGCTAGGCCATTTTTCACTTGTCTCCAAACTCTGTCCGTCTGCCATTGTGATCATGACTCAACTATCTCATGCCCAGCTCCTCATAAGGACTCGCTCCCGTCTCTGATTGGCTGACCAACCAATTTCGCAATACATGACGCGTTTCCTGCCATAAAGCAGATTTTTTCCACGAAATTTCGGCGCCGGTGGCAGAAGCTTATTGCCCAGCCACTAAGTAACCTAAACGCTGATAATCTGATTTTACTGTGGCCACTACCCTGTGCAACCCACATTATTTTCATAATGATATATTTAGGAAAAGATGCTATCTGTTGCCTCTTTAATATCAGAGTTATTAGTACAGGCAGTTGCCTCTGCTGAGCAAAGTTTTTCAAATATAAGCTCATATAAACATAGTTGCGTTCAACAATGGGACAGGAACATCTGGTGGTTTTTATGACATCAGTATCAATGCAGAACTCGCTTAGAAGCTGTCACATAATGACCTCCTTAATGACCTGCAGCCAGGTAATGCAGACGTGGGCCTCCATGCGCAACAGCTGAAAAATGATTGTTGTATAGTTTTTCTGTAGGGGACAGTATACTGTCTCTGCAGATTCATAAAGTTTTGTGACTTTTCTTCTGTTTTGTGTGACCCATGGGTCATTTTTGTTTTTCTTACTGTTGATTTATATTGATTTTAACAACAGTGGTATTGATATCATATCATATATCATTCTTCTGTTGCGCTTAGGGCATAAATGTCCATCAGCAGCCCTGCTTTCTGTCACAAAAGGAGTTCTTGGTTAACTTTGGGGGCGGGGGGTTAAATGAATAGAAAAGCAAAGTTCTCCCATGTTCTATGTCTCTCCCCACCTGAAGTCTTTACACAGATTTTGCGTCAATCCAGCTCCGCCCAGATTCTCTATTTGTCGTCTGTCTTTCACACACATCTGCCAGACGGTCCTGGACATTACGGACGTTATAGCGCGACTCCAGCTGTCAACTGGTGAGAAGTGCGTCTAGCGCAAGTAAGTCTGAGAGTTTCGAATATTTTCCATCCTTGTAATGCTATAATCGTCAGTGGTGGAAGAAGTAGGCACATCCTTTCCTCTACTACAAGTAAAATACATGCATTTAAAAATTAAATTAAGTGAAGTAGTATCAGCAAAATGTACTTGTTGTGCAGTAAAATGTTCCCTGTCAGTGTTTTATTGTTTAATTATGTAGCCTATAATATTTTTGGGTTAACATTACCGCTGCATAAATGTGTATGTTGCATTTTACTGCTGTAGATGTTTAAGGTTGTGCTCATTTTAATCTCCCTTTATATGCTGTTGGGTAGTTTAATCTATAGCAATGCATCATATTCTATGTTATCATCAAATGTTTGCAGCGTGGCTCTCCTGTGCGAACCATATGTCTTTTAAAAGTCCACTTTTCATGGTGTCAGAAAATCAGCCCTGTTTTCAGCTTTGTAATGATGCATTTTCCGGCTGATAATGGAACACGTCATCCTTCAGTTTAAACATACTGGAGATACGCGGTTTTCACTGGACAGTAAGGGGGTGAAAAATTGTAATCTGGAAAGTAACTAAAGCTATCAGACAAATTTAGTGGAGTAAAAAGTACAATATCTACCACTCAGATGTGGTGGAGTAGAGATGGAAATACTCAAGAAAAGTACAAGTAGCCTAAATGTGGACTTACTTTGTTCCATTCCATCACTGCAAATTATTTGCCTTCACATGTGTTAGTTAACTGTTTAGCAGTTAGTATTGTGTGACTCTACACTATGCTATCACTGTACTTCTATTTTTAAATTTGGCTTGGGTTAGTTTGCAGTGTTACTAACATTAATGTACTACACATTAAATTATGCATGTGCTGCTTATATAACTCAGCAGTTAAAAAAGTTACACTTTCAGGGTTTTTTATTTTTTTATTTTTTACAGCTCATGTAACTCAGCAGCACTTTCCAAATGGTAGTGGCTGCAGCTAGTGGGAAGGCAGAGCTGGATGATGGCCAGCTGAAGGCAGTGCTGCCTTACCAAGAAATATAAAGAGTGATGGGGCTGTTTCAGTTTCAGATGCTTGTGATACCTGTTGCTTGTAAGCTGCCATGCTACTTCACTGTTGTTGTTGTTGTTGTTGTTGTTGTTGTTGTTGTTGTTGAGGCTACACTGCCTAGTGTACTCTGCATAATGTTTTATTAGAGCACTTTGCATTTTTATGTAGGCCTACTTTATATATTCGTGTTTTTTTTTTTTAAATCGTCTTTATTTCTGTATATTAAGTTAATTTCATGCAGAACTGCTTTTATAGACAGTTTTGCAGAAAAATGTCATTGTAGCGGTGGAAATAAAGGCAATGTAGTTCAATCAATCAATCAAACAATCAATCAATCAATCAGTCAATCAATCCATCAATCAATCAATCAATCAATCAATTTATTTGTCATATGAAATCATAAAAATGTTTTCAGTGAAATGTATTTGTGGTTACTTCCATCAGTTTGAAGAAGTAGTAATTTATATATTTTTTTAAAGTCAATGTTTAGGATAAGGCAGGGTCATAATTCAGTATCCTTGTGGCCTGAGGGTAGAAGCTCTTCCTGAGCCTCCCAGTGTCGCCCTGGTGTAACAGGTACCTTCTCCCTGATCTCAACAGGGTGAAAAGGCAGTTATCCAGGTGGTTGGGATGTTTAATGATTCTCTTGGCCTCATTTTTTGCAGCATTGTGTAAACATCCTTTGTGCATAGTAGAACAGCACCTATAGTGTGTTCAGCTGACTGAACCACTCTTTGCAGGCCCTGCGATCCTGTTTGGTTACAGTACAAGCAGTGACATCAAGTCATTCAGAATCTTTGCCCTGCATGTCACACCTCTGGTAAGCATGTTGGAGCAGGTGGTGAGAAAGAGAAGGGTGGAACTGGAATATAGATGACATGTTTTGCGCCTAGTGGGGAAGCACATAACCTAAGATCTAGCATTCATCTAACCACTATGGATACTGATCCCTACTCTCCTGGATTTAGCAGACTGATTGGAATATACATTCCAGGTCCAGGAAGATTTTGCAGTATGGTTGCAGCTCAAGGAGGGATGCCAAACTGAAAAGTGGAACCAAGATATCTACTAAGGCCTTAGTTTCTCTGCACGCTACAGAAACCAAACTCACTGAAAAAACAGCCCGAGGATCAGCTAGCAGTCAAGCCTCAAAGAGGTTTTTCCAATTCTGTGATAACAACAAGCACTCACACAATAACTGAGACAACTTTAAGCTTGTCACTGGCAATTAAAAACATATGTGGGTCCAAGAAAATAATGGCTGCTGGCTATGTGGTAAATACCATTTAGCGATAAAGTGTGACTTGAAAATGTGCTGCATAATGTGCAATACACGACTCATCCTTGCTCTACAAGACGTCAGTGTGATAACCCCAGGAAAAATAGATTCGGATGACAACAAGATGGCACCAGCAATAACAGGCCCAATCAAGCCAACTCCCCCAAATGCAACCCAGTCTCACTCTGAAATCGTTGAATACTGGTGCTTGGTCAGCAGTGTTGGGCAGTAATGCGTTACAGTAATAATGTTACTTTTCCCAGTAACGAGGGGTGTAGCGAGTTATTAATCAGATTTCATATAAGATAACCATCTTGCAAATAGCGCAATCACCTGTCTTGTTTTAACGGCGTCTAGGGGGTTGGGCGCTTGTTGAGTGCAACATCCTACGCAGCTGCAATGATCAGTGACGTGCACCAAGGTGGTTTATATTCGATAATAAACTACATTCACGGAGACAAAATAAAAGCGTGACACCATCCGTCATCGTAGAGAGCACCGTCTATTTATTTTTCACTTGTGCATACATCTCTGTCAGTTTCAGTGGTCAGTTTACCTACTTTGGCCTATAGCTTGACTTATATTGTCATGTAGTCAAGTCAAGTCAAGTCAAATTTATTTGTATAGCACATTTCATATGACAAGCATAGCTCAATGTGCTTAAAACAAACACAACATACATATAAAAACAAACACATAACAGCAAGGAGATTACACAGTACAAGAGCATGTAAAAACCTGATAACAAAAACACAAAACAATGGTAATGGTATACCTGGTTAAAATCACACACACACATCTAGTTAAAAGCTTGTGAAAAGAGATGTATTTTTAACCTGCGTTTAAAAGTGGAAATTGATGTAATGAACCTGAGGTGTTGTGGTAAAGAATTCTAAAGAATTGGACCATAGTGACTGAAAGCACCATGAGCTGATCTAGAGTGTATTCTTGGGATAGTGAGAAGGCTTCTACTTCCAGATCGCAGGAGTCTGTCTGATGTGTACTCAGCCAGCATGTCCTTGATATAAGGTGGAGCTACACCATTTATAGCTTTAAAAACAATAAGCAAAATCGTGTGGCCGTGTGGTGACATTTCCACTATAATGATTATAGCAAACTGAAACACGACTTTGTCAACAGTGCTACACTTCCAAAACCGGGTGGAATACAGGTGTGTTTTTAATATAACAATCACTCAATACACTGCTGCAGTGAAATGTATATATGTGTATATGTAAACCGTTTTCAGATTTATATCTATGATTTCATGCAGAGTAGCCATTTTGTGAAAATGAAAATAGAAAATAGGAACACAGGAAAATAAATGACCGAGATTCACACAGGGGCGTACTTGGAAAGTAATATATTACATAAGTAACTAGTTCCTTTGGCTGGGAGTAATAAGTAAAGTAACAATATTACTTTTAAAAAGGGTAATTAGTAATAAGTAATGTATTACATTTTTTGAGTAACGAGCCCAACACTGTTGGTCAGTGACTTCCAGCATCAGACACCAACAAAAAAAGCTGTCCTTTCATGTAGGCATGATATGCAGCCAGTTGCCATTATTCTCTGATGCCGCCCAGCAGCGCCAGGGGAAACATGGCCAGACAACAACTTTAGTTAAGGGTAAGGGGGAGGGGTGGTGGATGGGTCCAACAACCACCCACTCTTACCTGGAAGGTTGGTTTTCGATTCCTGTATGAATGTAAAGCCAAACCCTGCTCCTTTTCCTAAACCCAACCACATGCTTCTGTTGCCTAAACTCAACCATGTGTTGGCTAAAAGTAACCACAATGATGCACTGATGATGCACCCCTGAGGATACTGGGACAGGAGCCATCGCATTATGGATGGCCATCTTCTTCCCAATCTCACCAGCAAGCTCATCTAAACAAGTTTTCAACATAAAAGTAGCCTTTATGTCACTAAAACTCGGCTTTACAAGGTGTTTGCTTATCGTGCAGAGAGATCAAAGCATGGAGCAGATGGCCTGTGGTGTTAGAGCAGGTATTCACTGTGCTCATGAGGTGCTGCTTTTTATTGATTGGTTGTTATGCTTTCTGTGTTGGAGTGGTAAAATGTAGTTAGGATATTCCTGCCTATCCCAAAGGAGTTCAGCTTCCTCAAGAAGTGTTTATACTGTTGGCATTTTTCAATGATCACCTCAGTGTTGGCCTCCAAACGAGCTTTGTCATTAATGAGAGTGCCCAGGTATTTTTTTACTGATGTTCAGCTTCCATTGGTTCTCTCTGAATTATGGCCCCAGTCCTCCCTACTCCATGCTTAGTGAAGTTCACTAACATCTCCTTGGTCTTGGTGACATTCAGCTCCAGACAAGAGCCGTCACACCATTCCACAAATTCACCTAGGACAGGCTTGTGATGTTGCCCAGGGAAAGACAGTATCATCTGCAAACTTGATGACCAGATTACATTGAAGGCTTTTGCAGTCTTCTGTACAGGATAAACAACAGGGGTGAGATGACACAGCCTTGGAGGAAGCCAGTGGGTGTGCACTGGAGGTTGGAGAGCCTTTTGTTGATTGTTGAAGGTTGAGCACCTTCTGTGTTCTTCGGGTGAGGAAGTCTACAATCAACAAAGTTACCCGGTGATCAAGGTGGAAAAAGTTACTTTTTTTGCCAGGTTGTAGGGTGTTGAGTACTTTTTTCACAATCTTATCGAAGGCTTTTATGATGAGCGCAGTCAGGGCTATAGGTTTGAAGTCGTTCAGGACCTTGGGGCTGCTCTTCTTCAGGACAGGACTGTGCCAGTAGCTAGGGGGCTCTGATATAGTTGCTGGAATACTTCTCTTAGCTGCTCAAAACAGAGTTTCAGTGTATGGCCACAAATATTATATGGTACAAGGGCTTGCTTGGTCTGTGTCCTTTTCAAGTATGTAATGATGGGGTCACCTGGGGTCAGGTTGCTAATTGTGTCTGCCATGCGTGATTGGTGGTCTTTCTCAGAACTCCTCTCACTGCCTCCTGAATATTCCCCAGGTTGAATTTTTGTTCAGTTTTGATTTTGTAGGTTATTTTGGACTTTGTGATCACCTGCTTCACCTCCCTGTTCACTTTTTTTTTTTCCACCAGTGTAGTTACAGTGAAGAATACTTTTGTTGAGAATAGTTTTGAGGTCTTTTGTGACACATGATTTTTTATTGGGGAAATTGTGACAGTGCTAACCTGTTTGTTTAGAGCCTGATTTTTTTTTTTGTTTATCAATATGTCCAAGGTTGTACACTCAATACACTCCCTTAATATGCAAATGCCAACAGTTAATTGTTTTTGCATGATGCAGAATACTCACCAACCAGTTGGTACATTCTCCTCCACATTGTGGTACAAAACAGGAAGCCCCACACAGTCTATAATTGCTATTTTAGTTCCAGGGTGATGACTTGATCAAACTCTTGCTCCTGAGACCAAAACCAGGACCCTCTGTGCATGTGGTCCTCCTGTGATTTAGGGTACATGTTGCTGTGACCAGTGATATACTTGGTATATTCCATCAAGTTAGGCTCCTCCCAGAAGACAAGCTCCTCCTCTGCTTCCTCTGGAGAGACCTTAAATATAGGCAGTCCACAGTAGAATGAAAAGTGCTCCTCTTAGGCACAGCCTGCAGTCACTGCTGCACTGCATATATACACCAAAAACACATCTTTGAACGACAGGAAGTCGGGGAGTTCGTCCTGAAGTACTTCTATGTAAACAAGTGTCTACAGAGCATAGCCTCTGAAGAAGATGCCAAAGCGCTGGTGGACCAGCTACAGGCATTCTTGGTCATTAGAAAATGGATTTTTCAGGGCAAACAAAACCAGCAGCAATCAGACCTAGGCCTCCAGTGGCACTGCCAAACTGACACCCTGTCCTCTAAATCCAAAGATACTGGAACTAATGCACTCTATTTATAAGGGGTTAGCCAGTCTGTACAAGTCCCTTGGATTGCTTGTACCCTACACTACAATAGCCAAAGTCTAACACCTGTGGGATAGAAGGAGAGATTGGGAGCACCTGCTGCATGCTTGGAAGGAGTGAGCAGACAAGCTCTCCCATCTACAAAGCATAACCTTGTCAAGATGCTATATCAACCCAGATCTGGACTCCCCACCAGCCAGCAGAAGGTCCATGTGTTTTGTGTTGTCTCAGAGCAGGCAGAAGGCTCTGTCACATACCTCAGAAGAACAGAGTGGCATTTTTCACTTCACCGATCAAAAGTGGCTCCAAAGAAGCAGTAATCTATCCCAAGCTGAGAGCTGTGCACCACCGAGACAGGAGCTCAGGTAGCAAAGTTAAGGGGCTTCATTCAGCAGGTGGTATTATGGACTAACACTGTACTCACCTGGCTGAAGTCAGACTCAAGCTTTCTTTGGTGTTTGTTGACACTGCTGGTGACACCTGCTGTTATGTGAAGTTTGCCTTGATTCCTGCAGATTACATCATCCTGGGGAGGCCACTCTCCACACTAACAACTGTCAGACGCTGGATCCACAGCCCAACATTTCTTCTCAGCCCACATTAGTGGCTGTAGTTACCCAAGCCTCAGAGACCTTAAGCTCACAGCAAGAAAGATAATCTCAAAGCACAAAACTATTGTAAGGCCCAAACCTCCCTCCTTCAACAAGAGCAGCTAGACTGCTTCGCCAAGGACCTAACACTTTGGCCCCAGAATTTGGTGGGAATGATGAGCTCTCCTGCATTGACAGCTGCTTATGTCACAGCAGTCAGCTTGATCATCCCAGCCCTGAATGAGTCATTTCTAGGATTCGACACAAATACTGGATTCCAAGTGGGCGAGTGACTGTTTGCCACCATCAATGAGGTGGCAAAGAAAACCTGAAATCCCCAAGGTGACTGACCTGCCTCTCACAAGGTTACAGCTGCATAAGCCAGCCTTTCTCTCCACAGGTGTGGACTGCTTTGGTCCACAGTCCATCCAAATAGGACTAAGAAACAGAAACACTGGGGGATATCATTCAAATGCATGTCCACCAGGGCTGTGCATATTAATATCCTCTCCAGTTTTGACACAGATGCCTTTTTCATGGCACTGAGGTGGTTTATAGCTAGGATGGCCAAGTCATTCAAGTGTCTTTGGATAAAGAAAACAATTTTAAAGGAGGTGACCAGGAATCACGAGGCATTTGCAGCCCTTCAACTGGAGATTCAGGCACAGCGTGCACCCCAGCAGATCAACAGGAGATTCATTCTGTCAAATGCTCCACACTTTGGCGGTTGATTAGAGCAAGAGAGCCACTCAGTAAATGAAGCCTTGCAGGTTACACTTGAAACCCAACAGAAACAGAGACCATGCTGAGAACATTCCTTATTGAAGTCAAAGGGATCCTCAATTCCAAACCTTTCGACTACACATTGTCAGACATTGCTGACCGTGATCCTATCACACCAAACTCCTAGCCAATCAGACGGCCTGATGCATCCCTTCCACAAGTATTATATCCTGAGTCAGAGCTTTTAGGCATAGGACACTGGTACATAGACAGCTCCACACTGACTATTTTTGTTAAAACTTTATCAAGGTCTTCCCAGTCTACAGGCCTGACAAAAATTGCACACTGACAAGCCACCCCCAAATGCTAGTAAAGCTATCATGCTCATGGAGCCACAGTCCCCTTGCTTATTGTGGCCAGTAGGAAAGGTCCCCAATATCTCCCTTGGACGTGAAGGCAAGGCCTTGCCTTCAAACTTACAAATACCCTGTGTGACTCTAATCATTCAGTCCCCTGCCTTGAAGGACTAATCATAAAAGCCCACAAGTAATGATAACGTTTGGCTTGTTACACTGTGGATTACCTGCCAAGAACCTAAAAGGCCTTTCTAATAAGTCAGATTTTCTCTAGAAATCTGGGGGTGGCTGTGGAAAAGGTCTCCTGACTTCATGCCAGTTCTTTCATATGATCTCTCTCCCCACCTCAATTTTCTTCTTCACAAAGACTTTGGGGCAATCAAACTATGCCCAGATTGACTCTCTTGGGACAAACGTGGGTCTAACCTGTGGAGTGACAACAACAGAAAGTTTGCTGCTCTGGTGTCAGCAAACTCTCTATTGCTGCCATTACACAGGTTAGACCCAGCACTGCAGCTGGCCACCAGCCCACTGTGACCCCAGCACTGGGGTTCATGCTGACTGAATTCGGAAGTGTGATAGCTAGCTAATTTTTGTCTTATTTGTGATCTGATCAACAATAAATTCATTAAATTCAGTGCCCCATTGCAATCGCTATTTTCCAAGCAAAAATAGCTGTCAATCAACATACAAGGAGGTCTGTGTGAATGTGAACACATTGAAAAGGATCAATCATAAGAGGACCAGTACAGTGCCTCCCTTGTTTACCATCCCCAAATTGTCATAAGCATTGGCCAAATAGACACTCTTGCTCAACTGCTGCTCTGTGCATTTGCAGCTGCCTGAACAACGATCTGTTGCTGAATTGGTGCACAAGGGCTTATACTGTCCAAATAGCAGGTAATAGCTGTGCATGAGAAATAATAAAATCTGCTCATGAGCAAGTTTTATCACACTCAAAACAAATTGCATAAATCTGAGGCCATACAAACGACCGCATCATACGGCCACTCATTCATAGCGACACATGTACAGCTTATGTAACTCAGCAGATATGGTAGCGGTTGGTAAAATTACTCTTCATGTAATTTATCAGCCAGTAGAGGGCAGTGTTGCCTTCCTAATGGACATAAACCTGCTGTTAAAAATGTGACTAGGCTGTTTCAGTCTCAGAGATGCCTGTTGCTTGTACCCTGATGCTATGCTGTTAGCCTGTTTGAGCTACATTGCACAGTGTACTCTGCATATAATCATAGTTCAGCAGTTTGCATTTTTTATATGTACTTAATGCATTCTTGTTATTTACAGTTATCTTTGTTCTTGTATATTATGTTGATTTTATACAGAGCCACTTATTCACCAGACATCGGTGCAGAAGGAATGTGGTTGTGGTGGTGAAAATAAAGGCAGTGGATGTGAAGACATCTGTCTGGTTTGGATCGATCACCTGCAGCAGATTACTATTTAACTGAATCCAGCATAGACAAGCAGAGAAGCAACAACTTCTTCACAGCTATGTCAAAGTACCCAATTTTGGCTGCATGGCTGGTGTACTGGCTGTGTCATAGTTATTCTGGTAATAAACACATGCTTACTGAAATATCCTAGTTAAAGCCGACAAATAGAAACATGGGCATACAACATATCAATTTTCAGTTAAATTTTAATGTAAATTTTATGTTTACATAATACTACTGTCTGCAAGCAAGTTCTCTGAGCTTTCTTACTGCTGCTTCTTTAACTGCCTTTAATCCACATTTTAACTCAAAGGAGTTGAGGCCTGTACTACGAAGCATGATTTGGAGTTAGTGAGGTAACTTCAGGGTAACTCTGGGTTTTCAATACTACAAAGCTGGCTCTCTTTTGTTGGATAAATCGCCGTCTTAACCTATGCTGAACAACTAGCTCTATTTCCACTGGTTTTAATACAGAGCTTCTAACAGAGAGCTCGTTTACAACACGAAGCACATGATTTTAGAAGGATTTTAAATTATACAAAGTTTATTTTATTGCAGTTATAGTGTTGTATTTTCACACTCTGATTCCATTGCTGCAGCTCAAAATGACATGAGACACCTGTGTGATGAGTAGGGGAAAAAGTAATATTTTATCAGAAAAATAATCCTATAATAATACTGTTAATTGGCTCCTGTTATTATAATTGCAACATCAGCAGAAACAATCTGGCATTAAGTGTTTTATGTAACATTTTCAGAGTAGTTTCATCATCATCCATACATGGCAAAATATTCTGTATACTTATGTCACATATGGCTTAGTCATACCTGCATGTAATTAAAAGTCTCGGCCAATGGTAAACTTTTGGACAGTGATTTCAATGTTCCTAGCTACATTTTCTGTTATAAGATTACAAAGTATTGTTTACATCCCATGCCATTAACATTTTACTGTCTCGCAGTCCCAGACACTTTGGAAACCATTTCATCTCAAATGATGTGAAGTAGACTACATCATTCATGGTTCTAGAGTTGACTGAACTAGTTGACAACCAGCTTTATAGTACCAGTTAACCAGAAGGCCAGTGTTAGGGTTAGTCAAACCAGATAATGAAAAGATATCCTGGGTAAGTACAACTGGCTTCGTTGTAAAGGCCTCCGGTCTCCCTTTTTAATCGCATCTGTCAGACTGTCCTGTTGTCCCCTATAAAAACAGAATGTCAAACACTGCAGCACTGGCTAAAAAAATCCACCCAGGACTTAAAGAAAGATTGCTAAAGTAAGGGGGAAAAATGAGGAAAAAATCACTCACCTCAAAACTTTTTTTAAGGTCATTGTCTGTATATAAAGATGGGTAACATGTCTTCGCTTCCTTCCACTGTACAAAACTTAAGACAAAATATTCTGATATGGGCACAGCCATCTTGAGCTGGTAATATCATTTAGAGTAATAGTCTGTACAGTAGTGATTATGTGGTGAAGCAGCGGTATTAAAGTGCTGTCCATTCACCTGCCCAACTCAACTGCATGTCACACCCCCTTTTTATAGCATCAAATAGCTAATTAAAACCTTAAAACCAAACTTATCAGGCAATAAACACTTGAACATCATCTGTTAGGAAGAACCTAGTCAGTCATCATAGGTAGTTACTCATCTTCTACACCTCAAATCAACCTTTGTACCTCAAGGTTCATTTTTAGGTAAAATTTTACTTTCCATCTACATGCTCCCACTCAGTCAATTCAGCCAACATCACAATGTCTGCTTTCATCACTACACAGATGACACACAGATACCGTCCACTGAGACCTGGCAATCCAGAAAGCCTAGTTGCTGTTTTAGATTGTTTCAGTGATGAAACAAATGTTGGATGGCACAAAATGTTTTTCTACTCAATAATTCAAAATCAGAATTCATATTTTCAGTCCTTCAAACCCTTTCAGTCTCACTGAGAGTTGCCTTATTCACTTGTTTGCTAATGTGAAGCCTGCTGCCAGAAATCTAGGAGTACTGTTTTATTAAGATATAAGTTTTGAACCACAGATCAAAAAAGTTGTCTAGTTTGGCTTCCTTTAAATTAGACCCATCTTCAGAATTAGACCAATACTTGTATACTCTGACCTAGATAAAGAAATTTACACCCTTTTCTCTAGACTTGACTGCTGTAACACAACATGATTTTGCAAAGTAGGACATGTCCCTGGATCAACATACCACATCACACTCCTGAACACAATCTTGAACTTTCAACCAATCACACCCCCCAGACATCATCAGTGTGCTGCTCCAGTGCTTCTTTCAAAGTTCCTATGTGCTTCGTAAGAGCAAGGGTAGTTTTTCAAATTGAAGTTACAGGTAATACAATTGAACAAAATCCTCAGTAACATTGAACAAAAACCTTATAAGACACTGCAGTGTTAGACAATTAGCTTGCTAACTAGGTTGGCTATGCTAACGAGTTAGCTTGCCAATAGGCTTAAATATTGTTCACTAACATTAAGAATAAGGATAATGTCATTTTGCAGTTGCAAAGACATGCAATGGACACATTTTCTCACATTTTTTAATAGACTACTCAACACTATTTTTTTTTACAAGATTGCAGTGCTCGTGTCTTTCAGGACCATCACTGCCATGTTGACCCTGGATAATTTTTTTGTTGATCCAGGACAATCATCGTCATCTTCACCCTGCATAATCTGTTTAGGTTGATCCAGGAACATTATTTTCATGTTGATCCTTGATCATTTCTTTATGTTGATAGTGTTGTTATTTTACACTCTGATTCCATTGAAATTAGCAAGCTAACTTAATATTCTAGCTGATTGGCAAACTTTGTTGTTAGCATAGCCTAACTAACTTTTAACCCTGCAATAGCTTACAAGGTTTGTGTTCAGTGTTACTGAGGATTTCTTTCAATTGTACTAACTTCAGTGTGGATAAAGCTTAGCTCTGAGGGAGCACAAAGGAATTTTGATAGAAGCCCAGGAGCAACACTGATGGTGTCAGAGGGCTGTGGTTGATTGATTGCAATGTTGGTCCAGGAAAACAATGTGGGATGTTGATCCAGAAGCATGACCTACTTGACAGAATCACGTAATGCCCTGTAACTCCCCCCTTTCTAGTATCAACCAAAAGTCAGTCTCCTCTAGTTCAGGATGCAGCACCCAGGCTTCTGACTGGTTTTAACCATAGACTATATAAAGACAGACGATGCATCTCCACTGACCCCCACCGTACAAAAAGAAGGCAAAATATCCCGAATATGGCCACTGCCATCTTGCTCTGGTGATGTCATTGGAGCCAGAGTCTGCGCAGTAGCAATCTCTGTCAGTATCCAGTTCCCATCTATACACCTGTTTAGGCACCAACCAACCAATCATGGACAGGGCTTATGACCTATACTGCAGCCAACCACCAGGGGGTGATTGAAATATTTTGACTTCAGTACTGGGGAGCTGTCATGTCGTCCATCTCTATATATAGTCTATGGTTTTAAGGGATGACATCACATCAGTCCTTTCTTCCTAAAATTGGCCAGCATACTTGTATCCAAATTTCACTTGTATATCGCTACTGACATTAGCACTCTGGGACTACTCATTTAACTAACGTACCATTTTGCCAATCATTTTAACATACCAAAACTTTAATTACTAGCCCAGGCTATTATTTGCTTTAATCACTGAATTCAATTGGCATATATATGAGACATGTCTATAACTCCTTTCACACAAAACTGTTGCTCAGGAAAGATGGGATATACTATCAAATAATTTATTTGAAACAGTATGAATATTACTTGTATAAAAATTAGAATCGTTTTTAAATTACAAATCATTTATTTGATCTCACTCTAACAGACAGCACATAAAGAGAGAGAAAGAGAGAGTTACAACACTCGTTTTACACCACCTTAACCTAAACCCCTACCTAGGGGTTGTGAAATTGATTCAGTAATTTAAAATCTAAGCCCTGTGTTACATTATTTGCAAAGAGCAAAAACGACGTAATTTTTTTATCAGCTTCCCTGCCCAACCCCATCTTTCTCACTTTTTTGTTTTCCACCCCTCGAGTTTGTGCCCATTACAAAACTCGCAGGATTTGCTTTATAACAATATTGAACCACATGTGTAAAAAACTGTAACGGCTCTAAACATGTGTGGGCCTAGTGCGAATTTGGCATCAATGACAGTTTGTCCAAACATCACCAAACCTGGTGGATATCTTTAATAAACCTGATCAAACATTTCCCCAAAATGTTTTTCAAATTGAGAAATACGAAATAAGGGTGATGCTGTTGCCAAAGAGAGAGAAGAGAGTGGCCTGACACAGATTTGATCATGTTTGAATAAACATCTGCCCTATTATCATAAAACCTGTTAGTTTTCTAAAATGCAGGTCTCAAGTACTGTCAGAGGTCTTGATCCTTCACAGCTTTAAACTTCTAATGGCATGCATTGGCTTGGACTCTGGATTTGCCACTTGCGGCTGTGAACAGTTTCATTGTTATTCTGTTGCTAAGGTATCAGCTTTGTAGCCTGGTAAGACCATCCTGATGATGTGAGCTCAACATTCTGTTTTAGTATTAGTCTGGACTCAGTGCTGCCTCTCTTTGTCTCCAGAAAACAGGGCCAATCAAGAATCTGCACTGTGGTTCAGAACTTAAGCAGCCAATCAGGGACTGCATTGTAGTTAATGATTTAAAATAGATGAGTTCTTGCAGAAATAGAGTCAATAACAACAATCAAACAACAACAAGATTATGCACTTGCCATTCCTCTGCCTGGATTTTGCAAAACGCTTGATTTATCACTTGGCTCCGTTGGTGATGAGCAAGATGTTCCCAGGTACAAATGATTGGCTGAGGAGTTTGTCTGTCAAGGCGAGTACTCCCACCCACTGAAGGTGTTTTGAGTAGCACTGAGTCCATACTGATACAGAGAGCGAAACGGGATGTTGAGCTCACATCATCAAGATGGTTTTACCAGGCTAACAGCTTTGGGCCCTGTTTATTGCCTGTCAGCTACTGCATTGACAAACATTCCAACAGGAAATACACTTTGACCTATTTAGAATGTTTATGTTGTCATGTTTGAAATGGACAAAATATATAGACTTGCTTATATGACACCTTTTGTTGTCAACTTTTTATTGTTTTTGTTTTATTTGCTTTTACTCTTTTATTTGTATTTATCTATAATTAATTTAGTCTTGCTTTTTTTGGGGGGCCTAACTGTTTGGCCTTTTGTGTTATATTGTCTTCTGAGGATCCTCCTTCTTCCTGTATGTTGTATTCTCTTTTTTGAAAGGTGCTATATAAATGCATATTATCATTATTATTATTATCATTCTTACATTAACAATAATTTTATATCAAAATGATGGCTTAATGCAGGTTTTCACCAATATTTTCTTTAGAAAATTAGCACAATTTTTAAGAATGTGTATTGTTTTTTAATGACTTGATGTATCTCTTGCTCTAGTTAAAGCCAATGTGATCTGCGATGAGACCAAAATGACAGTAGCAATTGAGAAATCTTCATACCCTCGCCTCAGTTTGAATCATTTGCGGCTCAGTAACCCCACCAATGGTGCCTGCAGCGTCCGCTCCAACAGCACTCACATCTATTCTGTTGTACCCCTCAACGAGTGTGGCACTCAGATTGAGGTGACGCAGGGTCATTTTTTTCATTAAATTCTGTGCTCTTCTTATACTTATTGGTATTGTTTTTCATTAGCAGTATGACGACTAATTATGTTTAACTCTGCAGGAAAATGATGAAAACCTAATTTTCAAGAATGAAATCACCGTAGAAGACAACACAGGAGACCTGATCACCAGGAAATGTCTGTTTGAGCTGAAATTCTACTGCCAGTACCCCAAACGAGGAAATGTGACACTGGGTTTCTCAGTACATAGAAAGAGTGTCACAGTGACCCAATCAGGCTTTGGCACATTCACCTACAAGTTTGAATTCTATTCTAACAAAAACTTCAAAAGCCCAATTGAGCTACCGTCATACATTCTTGAGTGTACCATCGGGACCAGGATTTACATGCAGATAGAGGCCACCTCCTCATTCAAAGATGCCAAGTTGTTTGTGGAGTCCTGCAAAGCTGCACCAGTTGACAACCCAAATTACGAGCAAACCTACTCCATCATTGATAATGGGTAGGTATGAGTACATCACCTAGTGGCAACAGAGGACAGAACAATGTATTTGTCATAGTCATAGTCATATTTATTAGCTCATCACCACAATTGTGGTATGGAGTACAAACAAGACAAAAAACAAAACAAAGCAAATGGTAAACAGCCAGAATGAGTCATCACAGATCAAAATAAAAGAGGAGCTGCAACCAAGGCAACCAAGTCTGCACTCAAGTGCGACCATACATTATTTTATTTAAAAAGTGGCAAAACATTGTTCAAGAAAGCACCCAATTTACATATTGTTCTTGAATTATCAGTCTGCAATAAAGCTATACATTTGAACATAGATGGGCGGTTTAAAAAATATTTAGACAAGTACTTGTTTCTGGTTATATTTTTACATTCAAACAAAACATGATTCATCTCCCAGGTGGCCATTGTTACACAAATTACAAAACCTTTCATTCCTTTCCAGACCTTTGTATCTACCTGTTATTTTAGGGAGTCTATTATTAGAAATTCGATGTAATTTTAAAGATATGTTGTCTCACATTTGGTGTTTCTATCTAAATGGACCGTGTGTGTGACTCATAGATGGAAGTTAAATGTCTTCATATCTTCCACCTGAGTAGTTCACATTGGAGATGATTATCTCCTCCTACAGTAGAGGCTCATCTCTGCAATATGACCTTGTCAGGATGTAAAAGTCAATGCTTCACTTACTTCATCTGTGGCATTATATATCTTACTTTCCCCCAGTAACCCCCATCATTAGGCACAGACTTACAGAGGCAATATTTCTTACCTTTTTGTTTGCTTGTTTTGCTCTGACTAGGTGTAATGTGGACCCGACCTTCGAAATCCATCCTGCCGCCCATGACAGACAATTCCGGTTCAGCATGGAGGCCTTCAAGTTCATCGGCCTGTATGACCAGGTAAAGACTGTGGTTAGACTGAAGCAAGAGACTGTCTGTGATAGCCTGTCTCTTACAAGTGGGCGAATCAATACATATGACTTGACTTGAGTCAGACTCAAGTTACAAATTTATGGATTTGAGACTTGCTTAACTAACATTGCTAAAGACTTGTCTTGACTTTGACTTGGTATTTATCAGAGGTGGGGGACTTGAGTCACATGACTTGACTCAAGTCATGGCTCAGACACATCAAACCAACTTTAAAGAACAAGCAGCAATAAAAGACGACTGCAAAGACTACAGCTGAGAGCCAACCATCACATATGTTCTGTGCCACATAGACGACGGTAGACTGTATTTGTTATACAAAAGGGGAAACAAGAAGACCGTCATGACGCTAGGTAGACATTTAGCACATAAACAACACAATCCAATGTTGAAAGAACAGAGCATATTTACTGTGCACCAGTGAACTATAACATAAACTATCAGGAAGTGTATCTGCTAAAGAGCTCAATGACTAAAAAAAAATCTTACCTTATGCAACAAGTTTATTTTGATCTCACTCCCTCTTGACTATGTATATA